TCCCCCCCACCCCTACCCGACCCGGCACCAGGCTCGTGTTCGCCGTGCCCGTGAGGAGCAGCTGGAGTTGGAGAGAGAGGAGAGAGAGTTGCAGCGGCTGGAGGAGCAGCAGCAGCAGCAGAAGCAGCTGCAGCAGCCGCAGCTGGAGCCGCCGCAGCAGCAGGAGGCGCAGCAGCTGGAGTCGCTGCAGCAGCAGGAGAAGCAGCAGCCGCCGCCGCAGCAGCAGCAGCAGCAGCCGCCGCCTCCTCCTCCTGTCTCTGGTGTTTGGGCCCTCGGTCTCCCCTCTTTCTCTCCTTCCTCCTACCCCTCTCCTCCCGTCTCGGGTCCTCCGCTTCCTCCTCCTGACCCCTCCCCGGCTGTTTTCCCTCGTTCTCAGCCTCCGTTGTCCCCTCCTCCTTCTCAGACTTGGGCCTCTCGTCGCTCCCTTCGTGCTCGTCCCTCGTCTCCTGTTCTCGTTACTGACCTTCGTACTACCCTCTTTCGTTCTAGTCCGCCTCGTTTGTCTCCGTCTCTCCTTCCGTCTCCTCCTGAGTCGGCCTTCACTGATTCTCTCTCTACTCCTGTCATTGACTACTACTGCACGTACCGTCCTGTTCTCTCTCGTGTTCTCGCCTCTCTTGTTACCGACCCTCGTGCCTCTGTCTCCTCTGTCTCCGCCCTTACTGCCGCAGTCACTGAGTTTGCCTCCACTCGCCGCCTTGACTACGCCACCGGTCTTGTGGCTGCTCCTCCTACCAGTCCTCTGGCCGTCGGGGGTGAGTCTGCCCTTGGCTGTGACGCCCTAGAGGAGAGGCAGTTTGAGCTAGAGTTCCTGGCAGCCGCTTCCCCACATCTTTGTGCCATGCTGCTCGCCCCTGAGGGAGACCCCGACGCCTTTGACATACCGACTCCTCGCACTTTCCTGAGGCAGTGTCAGGGCCTTGGGCCTCTCAGTGAAGAGCTGCCATAGACGCAGAGATGGCCTCCTACAGATCCACAGGCACCTACGTCGACGAGGTTCCCCCCCCTGGGGCGAACGTAGTCGATGGCATGTGGATCTACAGGGTGAAGCGACCACCTGGATCTCCTCCGGTCTTCAAGGCGCGCTACGTGGCTAGAGGTTTCAGTCAGCGCGAGGGAGTTGACTTTTTTCAGACCTTCGCGCCTACCCCGAAGATGACCACTCTTAGGGTGTTACTGCACGTAGCAGCACAGAGAGACTACGAGTTACACTCTCTCGACTTCTCCACTGCTTTCCTTCAGGGTAGCTTACACGAGGAGGTCTGGCTGCGTCGTCCCTCTGCCTTCACTGACACTTTCCCTCCTGGGACCCAGTGGAGGCTAAGGCGACCTGTCTACGGTCTTCGTCAGGCTCCTCGTGAGTGGCACGACACTCTTCGTTCTACCCTCTCTGACCTTGGGTTCCAGCCGTCTTCTGCCGACCCGTCGCTGTTCGTTCATCGTGGCTCCACACCGTTCTTTGTTCTGGTCTACGTCGACGACCGGGTTTTCGCCACTGCTGACAGGGTTGCCTTGGCAGACGTGAAGTCCGAACTGCAGAAGAGACACACGTGCACTGACCTTGGTGAGCTGCGTCACTACCTTGGCCTGCAGATCAGCAGGGACAGAGCTGCTCGCACCATTACACTCTCACAGTCACACATGGTGTAGCAGGTCCTTCAGCAGTTCGAGCTTCAGCACTCCACAATACAGCGCACACCTCTTGCTGTTGACCACAGACTTACTGGACCCTTTCCTGACGAGCCGTTTGAGTCTAGTGGTCCCTACGCAGAGCTGGTAGGCTGCCTCATGTACCTGATGACTTGCACTCGCCCGGACCTCGCCTTCCCTCTCAGCATCCTTGCTCGCTTTGTTGCGCCAAGGAGACACCGTCGTGTTCACTGGACGGCAGCTGTGAGGGTGGCAAAGTACCTAGCGACGACATCAGGCGTGGGGCTAGTTCTTGGAGGGCAGCAGCCTGTCGTACTTACTGGTCACTGTGACTCTTCTTACGCTGACGACGCTGAGACTCATAGGGCTACTCAGGGGTACTATTTCAGCTTGGGTTCTGGAGCTGTTTCGTGGCGGTCCACGCGCTCCTCTTCGGTCTCGACCTCTACAGCTGAGGCTGAGATCTACGCTGGTGCCATGGCGGCACAGGAGCTGCGTTGGTTGACCTTCTTGCTCGCCGACCTTGGTGAGCGGCCGAGCTCTGCACCGACCTTGTTCAAACAAGGCGTCGATTCTCCTTTGTCGAGAGCCGCGACTAGAGAGCAGAGTGAAGCACATTAGCGTCAGGTACTTTCTTCTGCGAGAGTTGCAGAGACGTGGACAGGCTCGCTTCGAGTTTGTGGAGTCCGAGGCCAACACTGCAGACATCTTCACCAAGGCGCTTCCGCCTTGTGACCACCAGAGGTGTTGTGTGCTGTTAGGCCTTGTTGACATAGTTTCTTGTCGTGTATAGGCTTGAGTCTACTGTTTGCTTTGCTTGTACTCTTGCTATACACACTTGTGAACTCTCGAACTGGCCTTGTGCCCCCTGTTGCTTGTGCTCAGAGTGTGTGGTGACGTTGTGATCCACCCTGAACTGAGAGGGTTGGAAGGAGGAGTAGGAGGAGGGAGAGACACTGGCATTGAAGTTGGTGGTGCTGTCACTGCCATAGTTACTGCTGCTGTAGGTGTGGTGGGTAATGCAGCAACAGCACCCATGGGTGCAATGCAGGATAGGTTATGTGGTTCTGTGGCAGTGTGGCAATGTAGTTCTATGTGTGCATCTCGCGTTTTGCTCGTACTAAGTCCAGAAGGGGTAGCTTATTTTAATGGGAGTAGAACTAATAGTACACTAAAAGTTGCATATGCAGTACTGTCAAGGTTCCATAGGTGGGTTCATGCATGCTTGGCCATTGATTTGAGGGCTCAATTTCTGAAAAAGCTAGCTCAAGTAAACAAATGCAACCAGAAACGAAATATTCACAGCAGCAGATACAAAGGCAATGTCAATAGTAATAACCCCTGTATGCATCGTAAATCAAAACATGATCACCTTTCCACTTCACCAACCCCTCAAGAAAATCGTATGCTGTGACGTCCTACCGTGTTCCCCTTGGCGTCACCTTCAAAGCTCTGTCGAATCTGCTTATCACGGGTACCACTGCCTTCCGCCTCCATACAGGCGGCGGCTGTACATTTTGGGGGGAGACCAGGGGCGCCCGCCTCCATACAAGCGGCGGCTATACATCTTGGGGGGGGACCAGGGTCGCCCGCTTCCCAACAGGCGGCGGCTCATCTTGGTCTTTCCGCCCGCCAGTGATTCAATCAGTTGCGGCCGCTCTAATTCGCGCAGCTGCACTCCGCCGCTGCTGTGCGGCGCGCGAGGCTCCATCGCGCGCAGCACGTTTCCACTAGTTTCGAAGTCGGCGCAGTAACTGTAGCTTTCCGCATAGGCATATTCATTAGACCAGTACGGGGTAGTCCCGTCGAAGCCACCTCCGTTACACTGCGGGTAACCAGATTCACCACAGTCGTAATTCCCCGGACATTGCAGCTGTTTGATTCCCTCCTCGATATAATGCGTGTCGGCCTGTTGGCCGCTGCTATACTCGTAACCGGAGAGGTCTATATCGCAGCAACGTGCGAGCCTGTTCGCTTTCCACTTGCAATCCTGGCAGTAAAGCGCGCCGGCCTGCACGAGCGCGCACTTAGTCGAGCCGTCCGGGGAATAACCGCCGCCGTAGAGACACGTGCGACGCCACCCGTTTCCATTGCAGAAGCTCAGGACCGCAACGGCCGCGTTTGCCTCGTTTGCGTCCAAGTCGTACGCGCGCACCGGGGCGAGCGGGAGGAGTTTTTACGTCCGCCATCGGCGCTGGTGACGCGTCGTCGGTACTAGTAGCTGTCGAGGAATAAAAAACAAGGAACTAACGTAAGCGGCTATTTCTAATTACTCGCTAAAACGTTAGACGTTGAGATTTCGAAACTAAAGGCGAAGAGTTGTGAAAAAAGGATAAATTTAGCTGACGAAATTCGTGCGATGAGAGAACAGGCTACCTCGATAGCTTTGAATGTAAACGAGCTGGGATTGATGAGACAGAACAAGCTGGAGCCAACTAAATATGCGGGACGATGTGAGTTGGAAGCGAGGGAGTGGGAAGAATTTGCGGAGAGACAGCGGGGGAGGGTGTCGGTGGAGGGATGATCCAGTGAGGCCAGCAAAAGCCGTGTGAGGGAGGCGGGCAGGGAGGCGCTGAATTGCTGATGCGTTTTCTTGGCGAGGAATATGTGCGAGTTGTCAGGACAGCAATGCACGGAGTTCGAATCGCGCTGAGTCACAGAGTTCGCCGTGCGACTCCACGCACGGATTTCGCGAGTTTCTTCCGAGTCTTGCGGCTCACTTGCCTTTCGCAAGCCTGTTTCACGCATTTCTTACCAAGTTGTTCAGGGATAGGGCCCAACGGGACTGGCCCTCCATGCTGCTCTGTTACGGCGTGAATGGCTTGCGAATAAATCACTCAAGTCTGCGAAGAATTTCACCTTGCTGGCGGTATCGCAGCTGACGTTGACCGCATTGGGAGAAAATTACATGCAGTCAACACCCTTTACAGCCGAATTCGCTAATCGAGGAGTTTACACCCATACAATAAAAATCATAACTGTACACGCATGTGTCCCATCAGTAGAGGTGGTCCGTACATGTATGCATCAAAATTTGGCATTGAATGGAAAACGTTTACTGTATGTACATGATTAGAGGGATAATCTACTAGGTTTAACGCTCCTAGGCCTGCAGCAAGTGATATGGAACAATCCTAACACGTGGAGACATGAGTAGAAATAAACATTATTCATTCCAACCACTTTCCATCAGCCACTACACCACCGCACCTATACAGCTGGAACCGCTGCCAGCTGCACACCTGTAACGAGACATGAAAGGACAAAGGACAAAGTCATTGATTGGATGTCAAAACAGAGCGATGCGGGGGAGGGGCATGCCGCAAACCCTTGAAGGCTAGACGTTCCACTCACCCGTAGCAGTGTGCTGCTGTGGCGATGGGGCGATCTACAAGCTCCTCCAATGATTGGATGCCAAAGACGGTGCGAGGCGGGGGAGGAGGAGAGGTGAGGGGAGAGTTGGGGGCAGTGGATGGTTTGGGGGGGAGGCCGAGGGCGAGCTGTTGGTTGAAATCACAGTCGAAGAGAGCGCCTTGCCTGTAAGAGGGTGAGGAGAGAGGGAAACAAGTGGAGAGCGGGCAGACATATGCAGTGGGTGGTTTGGAGGGAAAGCCAAGGTGCTGGTTGAAGTCACAGTCGAAGAGAGCGCCTTGCCTGTAAAGAATACCAAATAGGGGGAGGGGAAAGAAGAGAGAGGGGGCGAGGAGAGGGGATGGCCGGTTGCATGGTTTGAGTGGAAGGCCGAGGGCGAGCTGCTGGTTGAAATCACAGTCGAAGAGAGTGCCCTGCCTGCAGCGAGCGGGGAAGAAGGGAAAAGCAAGAGGGGAAGGGAGAGGCGAGAGGAGAAGGGAGAGGCGAGAGGAGAAGGGAGAGGCGAGAGGAGAAGGGAGAGGCTAGAGGAGAAGGGAGAGGCGAGAGTTTGTTGCAGTGGATGGTTTGGGAGGAAGTCTGAGGTTGAGTTGCTGGTTGAGGACACAGTCGAAGAGAGTGCCTTGCCTGCAGCGAGTGGGTGGTGGAGGAGAGAAGGGGAAACAAAGAGGCAAGGGGAGAGTTGGTTGCGCTAGATGGTTTGGGACGAAGGACGAGGGTGATCTGCTTGAAGCCACAGTTGAAGAGAAGAGAGTGCCTTATCTGCGGTGTGAGGGGGAAGAAGGGGAAACGAGAGGAGAGGGGCGCGTGGAGGAGAGGGGCGAGTAGAGGAGAGGGGTGGCCTGCCCGAATTAAACCGGTTTCTTCCTCCCCCTTCCCTCTCCCCCCCTCCCCCCTCCTTCACTCCTCTCCCACACACATCACGTTGCCCACTGCTGCTGGCTTGAAGGCACATACTAGTCACACTCATGCGTGCATCAACCCCCCTCCTTCCCCCCCCCCCCCCCGCCCTTTCCCCTGCCGCCCTTCCCTCCCACGCCCAGTCAATGTTGATCAGGTTTCTGCACATCATGTTGCTCATTGCTGCTGGGTTGTTGACCACCGATTTTGCGAAACACATGCTACCCCACACATGCATTACCAAACCCCCCTTTTTCCCCTCCCCCTCGCCCCCCTGCTCCCCCACGCACCAGTCAATGTTGATCAGGTTTCTGCACATCACCAGTCACATGGACGCAGTAACCCCCCTTCTCCCCCTCTCCCACACAGAGGGGAGTGAGGGGAGAGAGGCAGCAGAGGGAGTGAGAGGGAGGCAGCAGAGGGGCACACTTGAGGAACAATAATCATTGCTCACTGATGTTGGGTTGAACGCAGAAATCTGCGTGGTTGAACGGAGAGGCAGGCAGGGTAATGGAGGAGGCAACAGAGGGAGTGGGATAGATGTGTGTATGTATGCATGCATGTGTTCGTGCATGCGCGCGCGCGCGCGCGTGTGTATGTGAATGTATGCATGCATGTGACTGCTATGCATACTGCATGCCAGGATGCCGCCATCATAGAACCAATACATGTATTCCATACAAGCATATCATTTAAAAGGCTTACCAGCAGCTGCATGCATTCCTCGAGTCGGCTCTGCCTATGCAGAAGCGATGCGAACACAGTTGTACTCCATATAAGCAGCTCAATACAAGGTTCACCAGCGGCTGCATGTAGTCCTCGACTTGGCCCTGCCTATGCAGAAACGATGCGAATCTGTGAACGGATGCATCAGCGACAAACACGCATGGACAGACGCATACGCAAAACATGCTTGAAACAAGCAAGCATAGCCTTGGCATGAAACGGAACCAGCAGCAGTGCCTTCCCAACATGAAACCCACGTTAGCATTGATATAGGCTAACTATGTAAGCATACCACCCAAATATCGAGTGTACACTTCCGCTAAGACCCCCCAGTCCTTCTTGTTGAAGGTCCACCCAACCGTTAATGGACATTCCGATTATTGGTGGTCATGCCTCCAACTTATTGGGTGACCAAACAGACACATAGGACTTCCATCCATCGGGCCAACCAGTAGTGTTGGAGGGAATTCCAAATCTGGTCAACCCAATCTCTCCAACGACGTATTCCCTTGCTCTCTCCATACAATCACCGTTCAGTTTCCTTCAACCCCACTTGTCAGGAACGTTGGTGACGGTTTGAGGTTCAGTGACCCCCTCTTTTGAGCAACAGGCTCTGTTCGCCTCAGCTCGCTGGACACCTCTGCACACCTCTGCACACCTCTGCACACCTCTGCACACCACTGCGTGCGCACCTCTGCTGACCCCTGCTCACTCCTGTTCATCTCTCCTCACCTCTACTCACCTCTGTTCACCACTTTCAACTCACAACTCGCCTCTTGACAGTTATGTTCGTGATGGTGAACAGGCTGCGATATTCTCTGCTCACCGCTCACCGTTCACCACTCACCACCCGCCACCCATCATGCCTCTCACAATAACCCACTTTTGACAGGCATGTTAGTGATAGTGAACAGGATGTTGAGAAACATGCTCTACTCACCTGTGTTCACCTCTGTCAACCACTCACCACCGCTCATCACTCACCGGGCGTGTTGGTGATGGTGAACAGCCCGACAGGCTTTAGTTTTTCGTTTTCTCAACAAAGAGAGGGGCTATTGGTGAAACCTCTGATGATAGTGAAACGAAGAGAACTTTAGTGAAAGCTTTTGTGATAGTGAGGAGGCTGTTGAAACAATATGCACCGAGTACCACCCAACCCAGCCCTGTTCACCCTTGCGCACCACTCACTACCGGCCACTCACCTCTTGACAGGCATGTTTGGTGATGGTCAAGAGGGTGCTGAACGATATGCTCTGCTCACAACCCAACAGAACCCTCTTGACCCCCCTTCACCACAGTTTCCCCCTGTTCACCACTCACCACCACCACTCACCTCTTGACAGGCATGTTTGGTGATGGTCAAGAGGGTGCTGAACGATATGCCCTGCCCACGAACCAACACACAACTCTTCATTTCCGTTAACCCCTGTTACCCGCTGCTCACCCCTTTCCACTTTTTTCAACAATAATAGAAAGTCATGTATAATTTGCATTCAGGTACTGCATGTATCCCTCACACCCCCACTCTCCCCTACACTCCGTTGAGCTGAGATCACCAGGAAACCGAAACAGACTTCTGAGGTGCCTCAAAAACCAAAAACGGACTTCTGAGGTGCCTCAAAAACCATAAACCGACTTATGAGGTGCCTCAAGAACCAAAAACGGACTTCTGAGGTGCAAAAAAAAACTTCAACAGACTTCTTAGGCACCTCAAAAAACCTTAACAGACTTCTTAGGCACCTAAAAAATAATGAAATGCTCAACTAAGCATGTGCCTCAGAACTAAACAACCTCCATCAATCTAACCTCCTTCCCATCCACGGACAGGGCGGCCACGGGCTTCTGAGGTGCAAAAAAAAACTTCAACAGACTTCTTAGGCACCTCAAAAAACCTTAACAGACTTCTTAGGCACCTAAAAAATAATGAAATGCTCAACTAAGCATGTGCCTCAGAACTAAACAACCTCCATCAATCTAACCTCCTTCCCATCCACGGACGGGGCGGCCACGGGCACCACTGCGGGCACCACTGCGGGCACCACTGCGGGCACCACTGCGGGCACCACTGCGGGCACCACTGCGGGCACCACTGCGGGCACCACTGCGGGCACCACTGCGGGCACCACTGCGGGCACCACTGCGGGCACCACTGCGGGCACCACTGCGGGCACCACTGCGGGCACCACTGCGGGCACCACTGCGGGCACCACTGCGGGCACCACTGCCTCCCGCTTCCATACAGGCGGCGGCTGTACATTTTTAGGGGAGACCAGGGGCGCCCACTTCCCCACAGGCGACGGCTATACATCTTCGGGGGGGGCCAGGGGCGCCCGCTTCCCCATAGGCGGCGGCTCATCTTGGTCTTTCCGCCCGCCAGTGCGCCGTCGCCGAGGGGAGCAATCGGGCGCGGCGGTTCTGCGCGGATCTCGTCTGCCTCAGCGGCGGATTCCTCCCACGGACGCTCTAGTTCGCGCAGCTTCACTCCGCCGCTGCTGTCCCCGCGGGGCTCGAGCCCGCGCAGTATCGTTCCCCTGAATTCGGGGCAAAATTCATAACCTTGCACATAGGAATATTTATCTAACCCGAACCACGAATTAATACCGTCGAACCCACCCCCGTTACACTGCGGGTAACCAGATGTAGCACAGCCCGTATTCCCTGGGCACTGTAGCAGACCGATTCCCCATTCAATGTCATACGTGTTGGCCTGTTGGCCAGCGCTTAACTCGTAACCGGAATCGGAAACTCGGAGGTCTACGATATCGCAGCAACGCTCGAGTTTGTGCACATTCCCTTGGCAGTCCTCACAGTAAAGCGCACCGGATTGAACGAGCGTGCACTCTCCGGAACCGTCCGTGGCATAACCGCCGCCGTAGAGACACGTGCGACGCCACCCGTTGCCGTTACAGAAGCTCAGCACGGCAACGGACTCGCTGGCCTCGTTTGCGCAGTCCAAGTCGAACGCGCGCACCGGAGAGAGTGGGAGCAGAAGGCAGGAGAGAAGGAGAGTCGCGAGGAGTGTTCGGAGAAGCGCTCTAGGAGTTTTTCCGCCCGCCATCGGCGCTGGTGATGCGTCCGACGAGTCGTCGGTACTAGTAGTACCTATCGAATGCGACTAAGCATAAAAAATAACGTAGCAGAAGTTCTGCTTACTCGCTAAAACAACAGACGTTGAGATTTCGAAACTAAAGGCGAAGAGTTGCAGAAATTGGTAAATATAGCTGACGAATTCGTGCTTTACGGAAAAGGCTGCCTGGATAGCTGTGAGAGTAAACAAGCTGGGATTGATGAGACACAACATAAGTGGAGCGAAGTAAATATGGAAGGCGATGTGTGGGAAGGGCGCGGGGGGAGGTAAGATCCAGTCGTCAGCCAAAGCTGTGCGAGGAATGTGGGTGAGTTGTCAGGACAGCAATGCACGGAATTTGAGTCGCGCCGAGTCACAGAGTTCGTCGTGCGACGCCACGCAATCATTTCGCGAGTTTCTTCCGAGTCATGCTATGCCCTTACTTTTCGCAAACTCTTTTCGCGCGTTTCTTCCCAAGTTGTTCAGAAGTTCAGGGCTATGCGGTCCAGCAGACTGTCCCTCAATGCTGCTCTGTTACGGCGGGAATGGCTGGCGAAGAAGTCACTGAAGTTTGCGAATAAAAGTTGTATTCCTAGCGATATCACAGCAGATGGTGACTGGGAGAAAAACATGATGCAGTCAACACTCCTTACAAACAGATTCGCTAATCACAACTATTGGCTTCCACCCATTGAGAGTAAGAAGCACTAGGATGATGCTTTCCTAACAGGAGACCAAGTGCCCCATTCTGAGAATTCTCAGAGTGAAAATCTTGACCAGGGCCCACGTTATCAGTGTAAATCACCCTGATGCCCTGACTAGAAGGGTGATTTTTGGTAGTAACACTGATGCTGTTGGGTAAATTTTTCGAGACCTGATTTACCCTGATGTGCCAGGTTTTACGATAAAGGAACACTGTCGCCTCAGGGTTGCCGTTCCGCTTATCGAGGTTTACCCTGAAGCGCGTACCAGCGAACCCCCCCCCCCCCCCGTCCCCTAACCACCCGACCCCGAAACCTGGATTCTCGCTTTGCCAACTGTCGAAAATGTAGATTTCGGCAGGACTTTACGTGTGCAGGAACGAGGTGGGCCACCATTGGCCAGAAATACGGTTTCATTAGAGGCATCTGCCCGTTGCGAGTTGGTACACTGATGCCTCAGGGTAGAATTTTTAATACATGCAAAAACCCTGACGCATCAGGTTTTCTACAACGGGTAACCCTGAAAATCAAGTTTTTGAACAGGTGCTAGACTGATCGTAAGGGTTGGTCAAAACCAAAAATGAGCCCTGATCTTGACACACGACACGACTAGATAGAAACATACTGAAGTTTAACCATTGTAGGATACACTATTCCATCTGCTGCTATACAACTGCGCCAGTACAGCTGGAACCGCTGCCAGCTGTACATCTGCAAAGAGGCATGAAGGAATAAAGCAAAAAGAAGTGCAAAGGGAAAAAAACATACAAATACGAAACAATCATACAAGGGATGCTGTCTCCAGAGATGCACGCATAAAAGCAGTCAATGATTCATGGAGTCGATTAACAGTGACCTTTACAGTAGACTCCAAAGATACAGAAAACCAGCAGCTTGCTTGTAGAAGTATTGTGTTTCAGTGGTTATGAGTCGGTTGGTCAACAAGTTCCTTTGATTCACAACACACGTATATCTGCTCACTACAGATACACAGCACACACACACAAAAAAAAAACGGTAAAAGCAATACTCAGTAACTCACCCGTAGAAGTGCGCTGCTGTGGCTATGGGGCGATCAACAAGCTCGTCCAGTGATTGGATGTCAAAGACAGAGCGAGGAGGGGGAGGAGGAGGAGAGGTGATAGGAGAGTCCTGGGCAGTGGATGGTTTGGCGGGAAGGCCGAGGGCGAGCTGCTGGTTGAAGTCACAGTCGAAGAGAGTGCCTTGCCTGTAAAGGGTACCGGGGGAGCAGAGGGGAGAGGGAAGGGGAAGGAGAGAGGTGCTGGTTGAAGTCACAGTCGAAGAGAGCGCCTTGCTTGCAGCGAGTGGGTGGTGGAGGAGAGAAGGGGAAACGAGAAGAGAGGCAAGGGGAGAGTTGGTTGCGCTAGATGGTTTGGGAGGAAGGACGAGGGTGATCTGCTTGAAGCCACAGTTGAAGAGAAGAGAGTGCCTTATCTGCGGTGTGAGGGGGAAGAAGGGGAAACGAGAGGAGAGGGGCGCGTGGAGGAGAGGGGCTAGTAGAGGAGAGGGGTGGCCTGCCCGAATTAAACCGGTTTCTTCCTCCCCCTTCCCTCTCCCCCCCTCCCCCCTCCTTCACTCCTCTCCCACACACATCACGTTGCCCACTGCTGCTGGCTTGAAGGCACATACTAGTCACACTCATGCGTGCATCACCCCCCCTCCTTCCCCCCCCCCCCCCCCCCCCTTTCTGTGAAAGTAGCAAATTGAACAAGTAACTTCATTAGAGGAGAAACCTAGCAACATAGTTGGAAGAGAGGCTTGGAAGAGAAAGGTGAAGGTGACCATAGGTTGGGTTGACCTCACTTGTAGAAGTGAGGCAACCCTAGGCCCACTTGGCTTGAGATGACCTCACTTGTGGGAAGTGAGGCACCCATAAGCCAAGTGGGTTGCATTTGGGGGCTCCACCACAATTGGGTGGATAGGCACCCCAAAGTGCAAGACTACACCCAAAGTTGGGTGTAGTCCCAACCCAACTGTACACCACAATTGGTGTACAGTCACATGTGTTGGCATGCTACACAACATATATTTTAACACAACCCCTTAGCATGCTAACACAGGAAGAGAACAACCCCTGAATCAAGGGGCGCCCGAGCGAGCGAGGCCAATGAGGCGGAGGAAAGCAGAGTGCGCAGGGCGAAGGAGGGCCTTAGTGAAGATGTCGGCCAAGTTGGCCTCGGTCGCAATCTTGCGAACGGCAATAAGGCCCTTCTGGACGAGCTCGCGAATGAAAAAGTAGCGGAGCTCAATGTGTTTGGAGCGGGTGTGATAGACGGGGTCCTGAGTGAGATGGATGGTGCTGGCATTGTCGCACCAGAGGGTGGGGCACGTCTGGGGGGCGCCAAGCTCTGCAAGAAGGAAACAAAGCCAGCGGGACTCCTGGGCGGCCATGGTGCTAGCGTAGAGCTTGGCCTCGCAGGTGGAGAGGGAGATGGCGGAGGAGCGGGTAGAGCGCCAGCTGATGAGGCCGCTGCCAAGGGTGAAGCCGTAGCCCTGGGAGGAGCGGCGGTCCGGCTGCGTGTCAGCCCAAGAGGAGTCACTGAAGCCCGAGAGAAGAGGAGGGGAAGGGCCGCCAAGGGTGAGGGCAAGGTCCTTGGTCCCGCGAAGGTAGCGGAGGACCCGCTTGGCAGCTTTCCAGTGCTCCTCAGTGTGACGACCGGTGCCGACAAAGCGGGCGAGCACGCTGATGGGGTAGGCGAGGTCGGGGCGGGTGCACATCATCGCGTACATCAGGGACCCAACGAGCTCGGCATAGGGGTGGGGGGAGGAGGTGGGGGAGGAGGGTGGTGCGAGTTGGTGGCCGAAAGGGAGGGGGGTGGAGACAGGCTTGGCCCGCGCCATGTCGAACTTCTCCAAGACCTGGCCGATGTAGTGGGACTGTGAGAGGGTGATGGTGCGAGCAGGGCGGTTGCGCGTGATGGCCATGCCCAGGTAGTGAGTGAGGGCGCCAAGGTCTTTGCACTTGAGACGCTGCTGCAGGGACAGCTTCATCTGCTCCATGTCGGCCCTGGTGTCAGAGAGCAGGATCATGTCGTCCATATACACCAGAATGAAGAATCGGCGGGGGGAGGAGCGGATGAAGAGGCTGGCGTCGGAGTGGGAAGCAGAGAAGCCGAGAGACCCTAAGGTGGCAGCCAGCTTCGCATGCCACTCACGCGGTGCCTGCTTCAAACCGTAGACAGGGCGGCGCAGCTGCCAGACAGTGTTCTCAGGGAAGGCTGCGTGGAACCCGGGGGGTCGCCAGAGGAAAATGCGCTCGTGCAGGTCGCCCTGCAGGAACGCATTGGAGACGTCCATGGAATCGATCTCCATGTTGTCACGTGCGCCAATGTCGAGGGCGGCGCGAAGGGTGGGTGGTTTGGCGGTGGGGGCGTAGGTGAACCAGTAGTCCTCGGCCCAAGTCTGCGTGAACCCCTTGGCGCAGTAGCGGGCCTTGTACACCGGTTCCTCGCCCGGCAGCTGCTTCACCCGAAAGACCCATTTCCCGTCCACGAGGTTGGCGCCAGCTGGGAGGGGGACATCGACAAAGGAGTCGTTGCGAATGAATGCCTCACACTCCAGGAAGATCGCTGCTATCCATTTATCCGCGTCAGGGCAGGTGATGGCTTCCTGGAAGGTGGAGGGAGTGAAGATGGTGGGGGTGGTGGTGGCGCCAAGGACAGAAAAGCCCAGGAAGTCAAGGTAGAGGGAGGCAAGGAACGGAGTGTGCTCTCGAATGTTGAGGAACTCCTCATGGGAGTCCTCAAGGAGCTGAATGGAGGCAGGAGGAGGAGCCCCAAGGATTTTGTCCACCGAGCGGGTATGGATGTAAGGGAGGAGGAAGTGGGAGGAGCGGGAAGTGGCACGGCGCCGCTGCTGCTGCTAGTGCTGCTGAAGCTGCTGCCCTTGTTATTGCGGCTGCTGCGGACCGTGCTGCTGCTGTGTCTGCTGCTGCTGACTGTGCTGCTGCTGCTGCTGCTGCTGCTGTCCCGGTTGCTGCTGTTGCGGCTGCCCCGGCTGCTGCTGCTGCTCCGGCTGCTGCTGCTGCTGCTGCCCCAGCTGCCGTTGCTGCTGCTGCTGTTGCCCCTGCTGCCGTTGCTGGTGTTGCTCCGGCTGCTGCTGCTGCTGCCGCGGCTGCTGCTGGTGCTGCTGCTGCCCCTGCTGGTGCTGATCCGGCTGCTGCTGCTGCTGCTTCTGCCCCTGCTGTTGCTGATCCGGCTGCTGGAAAGGAGGAGAATGAGAGGAGGAGGGAGAGGGGGGAGGGGGTGCAGCGGAGTGAGCGGGGGAGGC